TATATTATCACTTCCACTTTATCTGTGTTCAAACAAATTATTGACTCACAAATAAATTTTTAATTTGACATCTACTAAAATTTGTGCATCTATTCACCCCCTCTAGATGCCATTTGTCTAACAAGTGGTATCGAGCTTGGTTAAATAAGATATTTCTAAACGATCTGTCAAGATGTCTATGCGGAACCAGGTTTATAGGGAAGAAGCCTCAATAAACGAGACCACCATTATTTGAAGGAGAAGACTATCGCTTTTGGAAAGCAAGAATGGAAATATTTTTACAAACACTAGATTATGGTGTTTGGGATGTTGTACTCAATGCTCCCTACATTCCGATGAGAACAACGGAATCTGGAGTTGTTCCAAAGACTTTTGACCAATGGACACTGGATGAAAATAGGCGTGCCCATTATGATGTAAGAGCCCAAAATGCTATTGTTTCTGCCTCGTAATGAATTTTTCAGGGTCTCACAATGTAAAACAGCAAAAGAAATATGGTACACTCTTGAAGTAACACATGAAGGAACAAATGAAGTAAAGCGAGCACGTAAGAACACACTCATCCAGGAGTATGAATTATTTCAAATGCAGCAAAATGAAAGCATCACGGATTTCCAGACACGCTTCACACATATAGTAAATCACTTGAAAGCATTAGGAAAGAGTTTTGACAATGAGGAGTTGAACACAGATCTTGAAATCCTTAGACAAGAATGGGCAACCAAAGGTCACTACTATTACAGAATCAAAGGATCTCACAGAAATGAATATTGCTATTCTATTTGGAAAGCTGCAAGAACATGAGATGGAGCTACAAAGGTTAAAGAATGGTGAACATAATCAAGCCAAGATGATAACTCTAAAAGTAGAAAAATCTTCACAAGACGAAAGCGAAAATGAAGGTAAGTTTTCAGATTCTAATATGTCTCTTTTTGTTAACCAATTTTCTCACTTTATGAAGAACAGGAAAAAGAGACAGCAAAGAAAGGGGAAAACAAATAAATACCATTGCTATGAATGTGGAAAACCTGGCCATATCAAACCAGACTGTCCAGAACTTAAGAAAGATGTAAAGAAAGGGAAGAACAGTATCTATAAGAACAAATGCAAAGCTTATATTGCTTGGGAGGATAATGATTCTTCCACAACACAAGAGAGTTCCTTCGAAAGCAGTGATGGAGAAGAAGAAGCAAATCTTTGCTTGATGACAAAAAGTGATGATGAAGCCTCATCACAGGTAAGCAGTACAAAATCCTTAAATAAATATGATGAGTTGTTTAAAGAATATCAAGATATTTATGAAGGTTTTACCAAGTTATCTAAGAAATACAATGCACTTAGACAAAAGTTTGATGCATTAGAAAATACTGTTAGTATTCTTGAAAAAGAAAATGAGTGCTTAAAGAAAGATGTTGAAAAATTTAAAACTTTTTCTAAAAATAAAGAAGTTGCTAAACCTTGTGAAAATTGTAATCATTTGGAAAATGAGATTTTCAAGTTAGAGAAAATAATAAGCAAGTTTTCAAAATCTTCTGAAAATCTTGATTCTATATTAGGTTATCAAAGAGGAAATTCTAGCAAAGCTAGACTTGGTTACAAACCCAAAGAAAGTCTAGAACCTCATAAAACTATTTTTGTGAAAGAGTCAAGGAAAACAGATGTGAAACCAGTTTCAAAAACTTTAAGAAACTCATTTAGACCTTTTCAAAGAAAACCAACATGTTTTTATTGCATGAAAATAGGCCATACATCAAATAGATGTTACATAAAACATTTTGGCATATCTAACGGCAAATATGAATGGGTGCCTAAAGGAACAAAGCATTTATACATGTCTAGATGATAGTTTGAGCATCTAATTCATTATCAAAAACGAATTTTTTTTTTCTTGTTGTCATAATCAATTATGTTGATTCTGAAGGTGTTGTGATAATCGATTATTATATCATGGTTATATTCTTTTAATCCTTAGTCTTTTGGCAGAGACTTGTGATTCTACTAACCTTTTTAAGGACCCAAAAATAATTAAAGGGTACCTAGATTTGTATGTTGATGTTGCAGGTAATTATCAAGGATAAAAAATTAATGCAGGTTATTGAAGCTAAATAGGTGTATAGGAACAAGCTAGATGAACAGGTAAATATTACAAAGATAAGTTTATGATTGTCTCTCAAGCCTCTATATTGAATATCTGCACTTATCTGTCACATAAATTTGATTGTTGACCAACTTTGAAATTTGAAAGTTTGAATTTTGAAAATTTGAATTATTAAAGTTTGAAATTTTGCAGTTTGAGATTCTTGAAATTTGAAATTTTGCAGTTTGAGATTTTTTTTAAAATTTTGTAGTTTGAGATTTTGAAATTTGAAATTTTTGCAGTTTAAGATTTTTAAAATTGAATTTGAATTGGAATTTGAAATTTTGGATTAGAAATTTGTTTTTGAAATTTGGAATTTGAATTTGAAATCTGGAATATGAGTGAATTTGAATTTGAAAGTTGCCTAAATAAGAAGACCGCAATTGGGGGAAACTATTGCGTTTCATTCCATTATCTCTACAATCATTCTATTCCCCTATCTTTCTCTCTCTTCATTTGTCTCGGGTATCCTAGATATTGCCTCCTTAATATGATGTTCTTCTCTATGACACTTTGTAATGCATTATCTTCTCTACCTTGATTTATGTACTAATATGTGCAAATTTGTTCTCAATTTCTATTGCAATATTTTTCATAATTATCAATGAAACAAGGAGATATTTTGATGATATTAATCTGTATGAAATAGGGGGAGATTTTTTTGATGAATTAAAATCTATGTGAAATTCATTCCTATCTCTAAATTAAACAAGGGGAGTTAAGAAAAGTCTTTGTTCATATGAGTTAGGGGGAGTCTTGTTATTAATATATCCAGGGAGAGATTAAGAGACTCTAACACTTGATACAAATCTGTGCTAATCTGTGTTATAATATACTGTGCTAATCTAGAGCTGGCTATATAGAGTCAAGAATTTTAATTCATTTCAGGTGTTTCCTTGATCATCATCAAAAAGGGGGAGATTGAAAGCAATGAAGGGGATATTGATGGAAATGTCCCTACATTCCCAAGAGATGATTTTGATGATGATTCAAGTCAACTACATTCAAGTCAACACCATTCAAGATGAATTAAGGACAAGTTGAATTTAAGACGTTGGTGACAATGTGAAACATTTTCGTACATGCCCAAGATATGTTTTTGATAAAGATGATGATTCAAGCAAGCCCAAGATGATTCCTGAAGACTAGATAGAGTCTTAGAATACTGGATATGGAGGTATAAGTTGATGAAGTAATATTATGCATACGCCTCCAAAGCACAAGTGTGATAAAATTTCATAACATGATATTTTTCACTGTCATAATCAATTATGATGCATCAAAAATGGAAAAATGATTTTCTCTATCATAATTGATTATACTGGTAACATAATCAATTATGACAGTTCAAATTTGAAAAATATATCTATTTTAAAGAATAAATATTTTTTAATACATCCTGATTTTCTCTATGATATTATTAATGTCCAACGACCATTTTCTGATGCTATTTTTCTATTTAATTAAGTTTTGATGAAAAATAAAAAACACACAATTATAGAATTCGAAAATACAATTTACATTCAATCATTTTTGAGAAAATAATTCTGAGCAAGACAATAGAGATATTTTACACCTTTTGAGAAAACCCTTTTCTCTACTGCCTTCTATGCTTTCATTGTTAATCACACTTGTTCTTGGAGATTGACATTCTACAGGCTTCTACAATTTGTTCTCTCCATTACCCAGGTGTGACTGTTCTTATCTTAGTCCTTCATCCTTTGTGGGTTAAGGAGGTGTTTTCATCCCTTTGATTTGTTCAGGGAGGTGTTCATCCCTAGTGTGATTCTAGGGAGGTGTTCATCCTTAATGGCATTCTAAGGAGGTGTTTTTCATCCTTTGATTTGTTCAGAGGAGGTGTTCATCCCTAGTGGGATTCTAGGGAGGTGTTCATCCTTAGTGGGTTTCTAAGGAGGTGATTGTCTTTTTAATTAGTTTACTTTTTACTGGTTCTTCTGCTGAGTTGATTGTAATTTGTAAACTGAATTTGAAAGATAGCTAATTGGGATTCACTCTTGTGTTAAAAGTTGATTGGGGACTGGATGTAGGGTTGGCTATACCCGAACCAGTATAAATCCTTGTGTGCTCTTCTCTTTTCCAATTCTCTTTCTCTTTTCCTGATTATATTATTGTTTTTGCTTTATCTGTGTTCAAACAAATTATTGACTCACAAATAAATTTTTAATTTGACATCTATTAAAATTTGTGCATCTATTCACCCCCCTCTAGATGTCATTTGTCTAACAGCTGGGACACCACCTCACGACAGATCTCCGGCTTAAGACCCAAAATGAAGCAACTCAGAAGAAGGGGTTGTGGTAGCCCAATGACACGATTAGCAAGAGCTTCAAACTCATCCAAAAAGGTAGAAACAATGGTGGTATAAGTGAGTTTGAAAAGCTTACCACGGGGATCCTCAAAGATAGTGGGAGCAAATCTGGTCTCCAAAGCTTGTAGCAGATGAGGCCAAGAACGGATCTGACCATTGCGGTACATCCACTGAAACCAAGCCAACGCCGCACCGTCGAGGTAGAAGGATGCCACAGTGATGTTCTCTTCCTCCGGAGTGTTGTGGTAATAAAAGAATTGTGTAATCTTAAAAATCCACCCAAGTGGGTCATGGCCGTCGAAGCGAGGGACGTCAAGTTTGAGGAAATAGCGGTGAGAAGGATGATCGAGGAATGGAGGAGGGTTAAAAGGGGGAGGAGAGTCAAGTGTGTGTTCTAGGAGGGATAAACGGGTATTCATATCAGTTAATTGGGTGGAGAATATTGACATTTGGTTGAATATCTCATCAATTTCGTCAGAAAATTGTTTGAGACGTGTGTCGTCAACCATGGTGAAAAGCTCAACGAGAGCACCAATGATAGTAAAAGAAGAATAATTGCACTGAGGAATGAGGATACTTTTTTCATACCTTCTTCAATAGCATAGTACATCATATAAAGCGTCATAGCATCTAGAAAGATTCCTAGGATACGTGGCTCACGTCCTTACAATCCCATAACTAACTTCTTCTAGAATAAAATAGGGTAAAAAAAGGGTAATTAATAACATATGCTTAATAATGAATAAAATCAACCCATCCAACAGGTCTATTACTGATCCTCTTAGGCCTCACGTGATCAGCAATTGGGTCTTCTATAACATAATTGTAAAACTTTATTTTACATTTATTAGTGTGCTGATTAAAGAAATTTAGAAAGCCTGAGATATACTGACCAAAGTTATGCAGGGGTAGAAAGGTTGAAGATGGTGCGACATCAAACCTTGTGGCATTAATATGAGTTGTTGCAGATGGGGCCACAAGAAGTCATTCAATAATAATTTACAAGATTGTTTTCTATCACAAATTTGATGAAATGATTTGGTGAAAGCTTGAAAGAATGAGCGGTGGTGGAGAAATTGTTAAAGACCCTCGATGCAATATTTGACATGATTTTTGTTACTATCCAAGAATTTGGATTTCCTAAAGTTGGATGAATTACAGGGATTGTTGGAGGCTCATGAACAATATTTATGTGAGAGGGCAGAAGAGAAGTACAATTCAGAAAAAACCTTATTTGTGAAACAAAATCAAAAGAATGAGTGTAATCGAGGAAATTTAACAAGAAAGGTCGTGGAAGAGGTTTCAAAAGCAGAAACAATGAATGTGGAGGTTCAGAAGAATAATAAGAGAATTCTTCACAATCAAGGGGTGATATAGACATAAATTCACAAAAGAGATAGGGTCGATCTGGTTTTGATAAAAGTATTGTGTTATAATTATTATAAATATACCATTATGTAGCTAATTATTAGAGAAAATGTATGGGTAACAATGAAGAAGAAACATATATAGTGTCAAAATAAGACTCGAAGGATAAATTATTTGATGTTGACCACAACAAAATTAGAGAAAACATATGAATAATCTTGATATGCGTTTTAAAAGAGTTTGTTTGTCGAGTTAGATGAAAATATTAAATCGAATGTTGGTGTTTTGTTTTGGATTGTGGTTTTTCCGTCTGCTTGTGTTCATATTGGTTTTGGTTTAGGTTGGTCCTGGGTGGTTTGATTTGAATTTGACTAGAGGTCGAATGGTGGTTTTGGTTTGCATGGTCTAAATGAACTGTATTTGGTTTTGGTAGGGTCTTGTCAGGTTGTCTGCCTTGTGTTTTTGTGGGGCCTGACCCATGTTTGCTCTACAGTATATTTTAATTGTGCGGATGATGTTTTTTAAATTTAGGCTAATTGGACTCCTGGTCCATTACTATAGCCCTTGTGGTTATGGGTTGAGGAATACTTTGCATATTGTGGCAGTCTTTGCAAAAATATTTTCTTTTATATCATTTTTATTTATCTTCTTTTGTTTATCTGTTTGTGTTATCTGTTTGTTTTTCTTTTATCACTTAAAAAAAATATAAAAATAACAAAAATTAATAAAAACAACAAAAAGATTTTATTTTAAGTCTTATGATTATCTATATTCTTTTATAAATATTGATTTATAGTATATTCTGTGGATCCCCTTATTCTCCTCCACTAATATGCTGCTTTATTATCTGATTTACTGCCTTTTTTTTACAATTTTTTATTTTAAAAAATTGTAATGGAAGGTACTATATAGCCTTTTTTAGGCAAAGACTATAAAACAGCTATGATAGTTGTTAAACAAAATCTTTTAGATAAAGATTACAAAAAGCTTTTATAGTTGTTGAACAAATTATGGAATCCCCTCCAATGGGATTTAAAAGTCTATTTCAGATATAGACACCATACATGCTTTTCTAGAATAGGTTTCTAAAAAACTAAAAAGTTTGATAAAACTAATTGACAAAATAGAGTATATGGGATACTTTAAGTCACTTAGAAAAAATCCTTGGGGTTATTTAGCTAACCCAACTGCAGATAAAAACTACCAACATGCCTTAGATAACTTGTTAGTAGAACACAAAGAACTACAGAATTGGTTCTCTAAAACCCTATCAAACCTAGACCTAGAACAAGATAGGTCAGTTGATAATAGGAATAGTATTTCTACTATCCCTAACAATGAAAATATTCCTATGATAAATCCCATAGGATGTGAGGAAGATACAGTGGATAGTGTATCTTTTAATGATATTATAAATGGATTTTTAGATGATTTTTATCCAAATGAAGAAGATGATACTTCGGAAAATTTATCTAAAGTCTCAGAACCCTTATCCATATTAGGGTTAGTAGACACACATGATGAATCAAAAGATACAGTGGATAATGTATCTTTAGGTTTAGAACCCTTGTCTAGGTTAGACAACACAAAAAGTGATACATTAGATAATGTATCCATAGTTTCTGAACCCTTACCAACAGTAGGGTTAGAAAATACAAGTGTAGGAATAAATGATTTTCAACCACACAACTATCGGATGGAACATGATAATATACAAGATATTTCTGTTGATACAAAATCAATAGAATCATCACAAAATGTTGTTCTTAACAACAACCAAAATCCCACACTAGAGAATAGGCCTTCTTCAGAGCCAAGTCTACAAAATCCTAAACTTCTTCTAAACATAGGAGAAACATTAGACTATTTGGGTAATGGTTTAATGAATATAAATGAAAAGAATCCATGTTCTCATAATGTGCAATTATTTTCAAGACCAGGATCGATTCCTTGTCAATACTGTGAAAGATACTTTCATATCTCTCAAAGGGCACATTGTCCCCTTTGTTACAAAAATTTCTATTTAAATTGTTTAAAAACAAAATCAGAAATACAAGATATACCTACTTTCTTTAAAAAAGAAGAAGGTATAAAAAAAGACAAAAATTTAATCGACACTAGGACTTCAGTCTTAGAAACCCGATTAAACATACTTGAAGAAAAGATTATTCATTTAGAAAAACTTGTTAAGGGAAAAGATACTGAAAAAGGTTTAGTATCCAACTTTACACAAAAAAACATGATGGGAACTATGCAATGTATCCCATTAGTTTGTAATACAAAACAATTAATAACCGTAAAGGTATTAGTAAAATTAAACTTTCCACAGAAAGACAAAAATCCTACAAAAGAGGCTATAGTTCAAGCTCTCTTAGATACAAGATGTTCTAAAATGGTTGTGTGTAGAACAAAAGTACCCCCATACATGATTACCAAAAGTAAACATGTACATAAAACCAGAACGATGTCTAGACAAATACTGATAAATGATGAAGAGATAAATAATATCTCTCTTTAATTCAGTACAAATTGTGACTTGTTTGGTCAGAAAATACACATTAAAACTATGCGAGTGGAAAATTTAGTCCCCTCCAAACAAAGTATGATTATTGGTTTAGATTTTATCCTTGGTCATAATCGAACTATCACTGTTAACAAAGATTATGTTATCATTAGTGATAGAACACATATGTCACCCATAATTAGTGGCGACAATAAAACACCTTAGAACAACCTGTGGATGGATGTTCTTGTGATAATCCCAAATCTTCTAACATATGTGATTGTATGGAACAAGATATGGATTATTACTACACAAATGATATTATGGAATCTTTTTCTTCCATAAAGATATAAAAAAGAATTACGTTTGATAATATCCAACAAATATTGGATAGGTTAAACAAAACAAGCATAATAGGAGAATACCCCACAAAGTTTTGGGATCGAGATCCTATTATTTGCAAACTTAATATAATCAATCCTTATTTTATTATAAAAACAAATGATATACAGTTTAACAACTGGGAATAAGAAGAATGTCGATTGCATATCAACAATCTCTTGAAATTGAAAGTAATAACTCCAAGTGAGAGTCCTCACAGGAGTCCTGCTTTCATAGTAAACAAAGCTTCAGAGAAAAAAAGAGGTAAATCCAGGATGGTTTACAATTATAAAAGACTGAATGATAACACAGTCGAAGATGGATATATTATTTCATCTAAAGATATTTTGATAAACTGCATACAAAATGCAAGATAGTTTTCAAAATTTGACTTAAAGAGTGGTTTCCACCAAGTTAAAATGGATCCTGACTCAATAAAATGGACAGCTTTTTCCTGTTCAGAAGGATTATATGAATGGCATGTAATGCCTTTCGGTCTTAAAAATGCACCACCTATTTTCCAAAGAAAAATGGATAACATTTTTAAAGACTTCAAATCCTTCACTTGCGACATACTTGTTTTTTCCAAGACTAAAGAAGAACATTTTCTTCATTTAAAACAAGTTTTATACAAATTAGAACACTATGGGTTAATAATGTCTAAAAACAAAATGGAAATTTGTAAAAGCTTTATAGAATTCCTAAGAATAGAAATAGGGAACGGAACCATAAAACTCCAACCCCATATTTCTAGAAAAATCCAAGATTTTCCTGATAAAATGGAGGATATTAAGACTTTGAGATCATTTTTAGGACTCTTAAACTATGCCCGAAATTTTATTCCAAATTTGGGTAAATACACATCTCCTTTATACAATAAGACTTCTATTAAAGGAGAAATAAAATTTAATTATGAAGACATAAGATTGGTTCAGAATATAAAACAGATGGTAAACAAATTACCAATTTTACAATTACCATTAGACTCTAATTATTTGATAATCGAGTGTGACGGAAGCGAATTAGGATGGGGAGCCATCTTAAAATGCAAGAAAACCAAATATTCTTCTAAGATAGAAGAACAAATATGCAGATATGCCTCTGGCAAATATACTGCAAAACCCCAGGTATACCAAACTAGCACTGACTATGAAGTCAATGCTACCATACATGCTCTAGAAGCATTTAAATTATTTTTGATAGATAAATCAGAAATAACCATTAGAATCGATTGTGAAGCAATTGTTTCTTATGGAAAAAAACCAGATTCATAAAGATAAAAAGCCACACAGAAGATGGCTTTTATTCAAAGATTACATGAATTCTGGCAAAATTATAAATTTTGAACATATTAAAGGATCTGATAATATGTTCGCTGACATCCTTTCCAGGTACGTCACAGCTAAGGACATGGTTAAGCCCTTCAACAGAAACCAAGATTATGGATAATAATTTGGTCGTACAAAATGACCTTGAGATTCCCCCGAGATATGGGTTTTTACACAGGCTATTAAGATTTGGTGTTATTTCTAGCCCTTATCCTGCCTGTAGACCCCTAATTTTGCCCGGTCTCTCAAATAAAGATAAAAAAGATCACCCGCAACAAGATAAAGCTCGTCTAGCATTACAAATAAGAGCCAAGGAGACTTCCTATATGAAGATAAAGCTTCAACAGACACATATCGGCACCAACTGACGTCCAAAACAGGCAAGGAAAGCTTCCCGGAGTCCCGAAACGCGCGAAACTGGCCAGAACAAGTCGAGACGGCCGTCCCAAAGTTGGGACGGCCGTCCCAACCTGCCCCAGCCAAGTGGGACGCGCGTCCCGAAGTTGGGACGGCCGTCCCAAGTCCCAGTTCAAGTGGGACGGTCGTCCCGGGTTCCCAGGGGGTCCCAGCCTGTGTAATTTTGCCATTTGGGACGGCCGTCCCAGTCCAGACGGCCGTCCCACTCCAGACGGTGGTCCCGAAGTGCGCCAGCTGCGAAAACTATAAATAGGAGGCTCATTTGCCACTTTTTCACACCACAGACATCCCAGAGAGCTCTGAAACACTTTCTAAAACTCAGAGCACTTGTCTATTTCTCTTCCTTTCTCGAATGATCTTTCCGATTGCCT